ATATATATATATATAATAATACACATATATAATATATATATATATAAGGGAAACATCCTTTAATTGAGTGTAAATCTCGTCGTCTGGACTTGAAGAAGGTGAGCAGGAAGAATTTGAGAACAAAGCTGAATGTTTTCTTAAATTCTTTTCATCCAGAGTGTTTCCATCCTCTCAGCAATCACATATCAGACTCCTATCAGAGGAACGACTGCAGCGCTCGCCGTCTCCACCGCTCTCTCATCAGCAGTTTGGCAGCAGATCAAAGACGGCGTTAACTCTCCGCTGGATCCTCTCCAGTCTGATAAATCTTGAACACTAGGCATTCTGGGTAACGGGAACCTGAGGTCACACAGAAGTCATGGAGGTAAAACAATAAGGTCAGAAATGTGTGTGCTGACGTCCCCCGACTTTAATTCTACAGCACTGAATGTGTTTGATAAACATGAGGTTAAAGGTCACAGAAGCAGAGGAGTGAGCGCTCCTGTCAAACGTTAACGCTCTCTGATTTTACTGCCCGGCTGTAAAACAGGAAACGGCTTTTCAAAATATGGAAATGAATGCTGGCGAGCATCAAACTGTCAGCACAAAGGCGGACCGCGGGGAGCCGACAGAGGAGGTCAATAATGGACAGAGAGGATTGTGGGAGCAGGTGAAGGTCTGTGGGGTTCCTCAGCTCCCTGCAGTTCCTCCAGGACGGGAACCCCCGACACTATTTATATACTGCAACATGGAAACACTTCCTATTAATGGGTTCTGTGTTCCCATGATCCTTTGGGGCATCGGACGTTATTGTCTCTGTGATATCATGCTAAGACTGACGCTAACGCTACCTAGCTTTGATTCGGCTGCAGTTTGAGGCAGATCTCAATCTCAGCTCCTAAAAAGGAAACAAAGCCCTCGTCCTCCTCACATGACTCAGTGCAGACTTATAAAAACCTGCAGGCGAGACCACAAAAATGTGGAGTCCAAACAGCGGCTCCATGTCCTGGTTGTGTTTAGCCACAGCTAATCATGTCTGCTAATGACAGAGCTGAACAGCTTCATTTCAGCCTCTTATCCTCCATCTCAGTCTGCTTCCTCTCTCACTTCTTTGCATATTTTCAGTGTACCTTAAACTCTCTTATCTGCAGGCCGGATGTAAAAACACCGAGAGGTCATTTTATTTTTAGAGGTCAGTTTATCTGAAGCATCAAATCAAAACATCAGGAGGCTTTTTATTTTTAGTTCACTGCCAGAGTTCACTTCAGGTACTGACGTCACAACCATGATGGTTCACTTGACTGACTCACGCAACCGTGATGCGTTCACCTTGCTGACGTCACCAACCGTGAGCGTCACCTTGCTGACGTCAAACCGTGAGCGTCACTTGCTGTTGTAGCCTATGTGATGTAATCTGCTGTAAATCTGAAACCAGTTTTTTGAAACCAGTGTTTTCCTACATTTCCCATGATGCCTCTGAGACGACAGACTGATGATGTCAGTGATTCAGTGATTTGTTTCCTTTGACATTTACATCGTTTATTTTTACAGACGCAGTTTTGCATGTTTCTGTTTTATCTTCAGTTTAAATGACGTTTCCATGGTTACAGCGTTCAGTGGAAAACTACAGGAGGAAACTCGACACAGAAATTCATTGTAGTTGAAATGTCAGCAAACATTTGAATACTGCTCGCTCCTCTGTGTACAGTTAAAAGATAAAAGAGATAAATATATAATCTCAGTTAACTGGCTAATGTTTAGCAAAATGCTAGCTAGCTAAAGATTGACGTCGCTACAGAGCAAAACACGAAGTATCTGATTTAAATCGCTGATTAGCTCGTTCGCTGTCTGGAGTTTTAGCTAGCTGCCTAATGAATGTTTACTGAATAGTTAGCTAGCATGTTGCTTATATTAGCTAACTGATTATGTTTATTATTATTATCAAATACAGTTTATAGATCTTTAAAAGATAAAAGCAACAAGTCA